GTTGTCACATTAGCTTGACAGCGCAGTGCCCCAAATTTGCAGTAAGAGGACCGACCAAGCCTCTTCTTCCATCTCCCTGTTACAAAAATCAATGCCGTGTACACGTCCACTGATAGGAGACGCGGAAGGTATTAAACTGATAAAAATACTACTAAACACACCACTCCTATCTGGTGTCACATTAGCTTGACCGCGCAGTGCCCCAAATTTGCAGTAAGAGGACCGACCAAGCCTCTTCTTCCATCTCCCTGTTACAAAAATCAATGCCGTGTACAAGTCCACTGATAGGAGACGCGGAAGGTATTAAACTGATAAAAATAGTACTAAACACACCACTACTATCTGGTGTCACATTAGCTTGACCCGGCGGTGCTAAATTTAATGTGATCTGGCAGTAGCGTCTTGTCCCATACAAGTAGGTTGCAGCTTTTTGAGGGCCCACCACATGTGCACTCCTTTTCAATGGCAGTGAATATGCTTAGCTGTGTGCAAAAGGTTTACTGACTTGAGTAAAAATCAATGCGTGTACGTCCACTGATAGGGCAGCGAACATTAAACTGATCAGAACAATATATACTAAACACACCACTCCTTTTTTGGTGAGGCTTTACAGGACGGAGTGCTTCTCCACGGGACATGTTGGCTAACTCCGGGCAGCTGGCTCATCAAGGGAACCACAGCCATTGTGCAGGTGAACCGCGTGCAGCCGGTAGGGTTCAGGCTCTTCTTCCTGGAGAATAAGCTGCCAAACCTGTTGAGCGAGGTGACCTTGCTGCGGGATCCCAGGTGTGCACGGTTCCTAAAATGCCTACCATATACACGTCCACTGATAGGAGACGCGGAAGGTATTAAACTGATCAGAACAATACTAAACACACCACAAATAAGGTTTCTCTCCTGTATGGCTCCTCAAATGATGCTTAAGATTAGAAGCGACTGAAAAGCATTTCTCACACTCCGAACAAAAATATATATTTTTAACATTCTCTCCACTTTGAACGAAATGACGTTTTGGGAAGAGATTAACATAATTAAACACAGGCAGTAAAAATACAGTTTTTAGCCATACCCTGTAACTTTTAAACTACACATCCCATCTTCATAATTACATATTTGGAATCAGCACACTTAAAACATAAACATAACCAAAAATCAGCCAAATCCATGCAGGGGTTAAAAAGTTAGCTGGAGGTCCCTTTATGACCGACCGCAAGCACATTTTCCTGCCCAAAACAGTTCCATAGATTTGGGCTGTGAGGTCGGTCTATTTCAGGCTGAAAAATCGCGAATGGGACTTAGTCTCTGCAGCTGAAATAAGGCTGAAAAAAACGGCTGAAAAAAAGACTAAGTCCCATCGCCGAATGGGACTTAGTCTCTGCAGCTGAAATAATTTCCCATTTACTGAACCAAGTGGGAAATAGCCAGGCAGGCACAAAGGGTTTGCACCAGGTCTGTGGACACAGGGGACACCGTCTTAAAGGGGCCGTGTCCCCAACAAGTCTGGGGACACGGCCTTAAAGGGGCAGTGTCCCAATCTTCCTGATGTCCCAAAAAGGTGTTTAAAGGGCCAGCACCAGTCACATAAAGAGTCCATAAGCCCCAATATGCCCACCGACAGTCTTAAAGGGCCATACACACCAAATAAAAGTGCATACATTTTCACAAACTCCCAGGGGCCATAGTCATCCTGGAGGAGGCTGGCAAATAGGCTTTTCCACAACCCAGGGAAGCAGGGCAATTTGCCATTTAAAGGGCCCATTACAAATAGCAGTTTGTAACAAGGTGTCAATCCATATCTGCCAAGTGACCCGATGTAGGGGGACCAGTCCCTATTCTGCTCTGTGTCAGTGTGTACCAGGGAACCCTAGGACAGGTGTCAATCCATATCTGCCAAGTGACCCGATGTAGGGGGAACAGTCCCTATTCTGCTCTGTGTCAGTGTGTATCAGGGATCCTTAGGACAGGTGTCAATCCATATCTGCCAAGTGACCCTATGTAGGGGACCAGTCTCTATTCTGCTCTGTGTCCGTGTGCATCAGGGGCTCTGAGGACAGATGTCAATCCATATGTCAAGGTGTCAATATGTCATATGTCAGGTGTCAATCCATATTGATTGTGATTTAGGAATGTTAGGTGATTTCTGCCCTTTATGGATTAAACCAGACTCTGTATCAACTGTGTAATTTTCCATGGGAGTTTTGCCATGGATCCCCCTCCGGCATGCCACAGTCCAGGTGTTAGTCCCCTTGAAACAACTTTTCCATCCCTATTGTGGCCAGAAAGAGTCCCTGCGTGTTTTAAAATTCGCCTCCCCATTGAAGTCAATGGCGTTTCGGGCGGTTCGCCGGTTCGCGAACATTTGCGGAAGTTCGCGTTCGCCGTTCGCGAACCGAAAATTTCGGGTTCGCGACATCACTATTCCTCGCAGTATAATTAGGTTCATTCACAAAGGCCTCCATGACTTCCAGTACTTCAACTGTGCTGGTCATCCCTACACGGGCTAAGGAAAATAAATCATTCTGTAAACCCAGCCTATCCACAGGCTGCAAGGAGAGGCATCTTATGCCAGGTAACAGGCTCTCCCACAGTGCCAGGATTAATCTTTACCCAATGGTCTGGTCTCATGCCCTCCAATACCATGGTCGTCTCTGGCTTGTCCATCAGGATCGTATGTTTGGAAGAGGATAGGGATTTACAGGTGCAGATATTGATCGGTACCATACATTGTGGACAGTCCTCACCAAGGTGCGGCAATTTCAGTACTCTGAAGTCTTCATTCTGCTCTGAATCCACATATATTAGTGGGAATGCCATCTGCTTGGTCCAGGTGCTCATCACAGCAGCAATGGGCTTCCCACTGGCTTGCTCTAGAGACTCCCACAGGTCCTCTGTAGAAGCATTATTTTCTTGGAATTTGGTGAGGTATTGGTTCATGACTTTCAGGAAATCCTTGTCACTAATATAATTGTGTAACATTCTGATCATAAAAGATTCTTTGCTATGAGATATGGCATCAAAGATTTCATCCACTTCCGATGGGTGTCTCACATTGACCTCAATGGGGTGGCTGTTATCCAGAGCATCCAATTCCTGGGCATGAGTGTAGTCCACAAACACAAACTGAGTACAAATATTGTACTCTGGAAAGCAGTGATCTACACAAAGGTACTCTATCCAGGAAAGCAAAACCTTAATTAAGCCACTTTTCCATAGTGACCAGGTTCCCAAACCACTGATGAGCTAGTTCATGTCCAACAACTAGAGCCCCCCACTGGCAGGAGGAGGAGCAAGAGTCCTTGGGATCAAAGAGAAGAGCAGTCTCCCAGTATGTAACCAGAGCCCAGTTTTCCATAGCTCTAGCTGCAAAGTCTGCAATTGTGATGAAGTCAATCTTGGGTAAAGGGTAAGGCACATTTCAGTAATCCTCGTAGAAAGGAAGAGTTTTAGCAGCAACCTCCAATGCAAATTTCCCCTGTTCGGCTTTTCCAACAGGTGTGTACACATGGATTAAAATCCCATCTGCTGAACGTGTTTCCAAAGTCGTGTTCTCCAACCACAAAGACAACAAGGTATGTTGACATGACAGGGGTTCTAGCAAACTTCACTTCCACAAGGCTCTCATCATCTGGGTATGGATTCATTGCAATAATGTTCATGTTGGATAAAGCCACCCTGTCTTTGGGGACAACCAGCGTAACATCAAAGGTTGCTTTAATGGATGGGTCAGACGAACAGGGGAATGCTCTTCTTGCACCTGTATCCTCAAATTGAGTGACAGCTGCATATTGCACTTCTCCAGAAGCAGTGGTGTATTTACTGTGATAGAAACTCTTCATCTTATCGCTCAGTTCACCAACAAAATCAATCTTCAACAATCCATGACCAGTTTGAAGGATACTGGGAAATTAGAGAGTCAACTTCTCATCTTCATTCTCATAATTAAACCCTGTGGCATGGTATTCTTCATCTCTATCTGGAGCATAAGAGGCAGTGATAATATCAATGTCTGCACAGTTCATAACAATCTGGTTGGGGGCATTCTTTACCTCTATGGGAGCCTCCAGCTTCCCTTCGAAGGTGAAGTCTATAAGGTTGGGCTTCAGGCACAGTCCATAGTTAATGGGCTGCACGTTATCAGGAAGTTGCTCGAAGGGTCTGCGGTCAGGCATGTTGGTGTTAGAGGTGGCATGGGGCTGCACGGCCTGTCACAGTATACACCGCACAGAGTGCCCCAGCAGCCTGGCGTTAAGTAGGGGCGGATGCGCGCAATGTTTTTGAGATGGAAATGACAGGATTTTTCTCGATAGATTGAACATGAGGCTTGAAGGAGAGGTCAGAGTCAAAGAGAACACCTAGGCAGCGAGCCTGCATGGTGGAGCAGATGGTAGCACCGTTAACGTGGAGGGAGACAGACACAGGAGTAACAACACTTGAGGGAGGAAAGACCAGAATTTCAGTTTTGGTCAAGTTGAGTTTAACCCCAACGTCTGGAATAAAAGGGAATCATGACATGTCACACATGTCATGTGTCCTTAAGGGGTTAAGGAAGTGGACAGCCATCCAGTTAGAATTATTATTATTATTAGCATTATTATGTAGAGATTTGAAAGCAAAAAACAGAATTTTAAATTGAGCTCTATATCTTATAGGAAGCCAATGTAGGGACTGACAGTTATAGTGATAGTTTCCATCACAAATAGAACTGTGTGCGTGACACTGGAACTCCTGAGAATTATGGTTTTTATCATTAAAACCCACACAGAGAGAGCAGATAAGCTGCCTTAAGTGCATTCTTGCATGAAGACGTCCCTACCCATCCACAAACAGCCTGACATGGTGTTGTTGGTCAGCTCCTTTCAGTGAAGTTTGGCTGTAAGCCTTCACTACGCCTGTACCTTCCAACCTTTTACTTAACCACTTCAGTGCTGCAGCCCAGAGCAGAAAACCGTGGTGTTATTTTAAGATTAAAGACTAGCACGCAATGCATGTAAAATAACAATAACCTTGATTCGCTACACAGAAACATAGAAACATAGAATGTGATGGCAGATAAGAACCATTCGGCCCACCTAGTCTGCCCAATATTCTAAATACTTTCATTAGTCCCTAGCCTTATCTTATAGTTAGGATAGCCTTATGCCTATCCCACGCATGCTTAAACTCCTTTACTGTGTTAACCTCTACCACTTCAGCTGGAAGGCTATTCCATGCATCCACTACCCTCTCAGTAAAGTAATACTTCCTGATATTATTTCTAAACCTTTGTCCCTCTAATTTAAGACTATGTCCTCTTGTTGTGGTAGTTTTTCTTCTTTTAAATATAGTCTCCTCCCTTACTGTGTTGATTCCCTTTATATATTTAAATGTTTCTATCATATCCCCCCTGTCTCGTCTTTCCTCCAAGCTATACATGTTAAGATCCTTTAACCTTTCCTGGTAAGTTTTATCCTGCATTATAGAAAACATAATGAGTGTTTTTTACTTTTGAAGTACATTGGCTTTGATAAACACATTAGCGTATCGTTCACTAATTTTTTTTATAGATAATGCATTACAAAATGTGAAAACAAGCTTCCTTCTCATAAACTTATGTCCAACATGCGATATAAAGGGTTAGAAATAAAAAATTAAGAGAGGGATTCTGGGGCCACTTTCTAAATGCCGAGCACTCTATCCGCCAACAGTAAACACAGTCACTGCCACAACACATAAAACTTAATGGATCTAAATATGTCAAAAAGGCCACATTTCAAAGACAAAGTAAAGACAAAAAAAGGGAATTGGGGGCACATCTGGAACATGTATCTCTCAGGTAGAGATCATACATGTATACATGATACAGATATGGATATTAAGGTACTGTGAAGTTGTGGTGGGCTTAACACAATGTGGCCATATTGTGGAACTGAATCCCATATTTGTTTTGGTAGGCACCAGCCTAAACAACTATTTATATATAATATAGTTATTTATAATGTTTTTGCCATGCGTTTTTCTGGATTTTTTTTTTGTTCTTCTGTCTTTCAATGTTAAAATACACCAACAATTAAAATTATAGACTGATCACTTCTTTCTCAGCGGGCAAACGTTCAAAATCAGCAGGGGATCAAATACTTTTTTCCCACACGGTACAGGACCAAGACTAATTCAGTGCAAAATGCATGCGATAATTATTATAATTATAAGGATTTATTTTGTTCCAGTTCTGGTACATTAACATTATTCATTATTTACAGTGTGTTTGTTGCTTAAGGTAAAATACACAACGTTGAATTATTTAAAAGAAACCGCTCTGTTTATGAGCGTACTTTCTATTTCGATGAATTTTAGATACTATTCCATTCTGTATCTCGTTAAGACCAATATCCGGCTGCAGGTATCATTATGTTTGACATCAGTGGAAAATGATCTTACAGGAAATGATACAGTCTGAGCTAATGGACGTTAATCCGATACACAGTTAATGTATTATTCATTTCCCCTGCATTGATCCTATCTCCCATTATATATAATACATACCTGCTTTCTTGTTTTACAATAGGCGTAAACAAAGGACAAAATATTTATAAACATTATCAGTAAACAAAGTTAATAAAGTTCATTATCGTTTAAAATCCTCGGCAACAAATAAATGACCCCCCCCTAAGGTAACAGGAATCCGATCAAATTATTTCCGCCTACATTATAGAAAAAAAAGAATGGCGCAGAGTATTGTCTACTTATCACGGGGGGAACAATTGGCGATTCCCAATCCCCCTCCTCTCTACCGGTGTCAGGGGATTTATAATAACAATGTGTCTGAGGTTTCTGTAAAGGATACAGTGTTACCCAATCCCTCTGGTCACAAATCATATGAAAGGAATGTCATTTTATATTATATATTATATTACATATTAATCTTTATTCACTCTCAATAAGATCTATTTTAAAACATCTATCTAGCTATGACTCAGGTCTGTTCCCACAAAGTGTTTATGTCTACGAATCATAAATTTTTTTTGTTTTTTTACTTTCATTTCTCAGGAATAAAACAAAAAATGTCCCCAAAATTCCTTTATATCTGAACAGTCATACAGTTTATCCTGGAGGTAAAAAGAAAAAAGCCTGAGGGTATTTCCTTAGCTATGCGTTTTCTCCACTATCTCTATCACTTTCCTTTAGTGTATTTCTGGTAGTATGTCCCATTTACAAGAACCCCAAGCCCACCCCGCAATGTTCAATATATTTCTGTTTATGAAAAATAAAATAAAAATAATAACGTTTATTGGACTTTTGGATTTAACTTCATAATGAGCTGAGTCCGGCTATTTTGGCGCCCACGCTGCACAGATCCGATCGTTCATAAAGTATATTTAATCTGTCATCGTGATCTAAATGGGTGTCATGCATACAATGCACAAATTAAATTGGATCACGAGATAAAATCACACAATGTGCCATATTGTACATGCCCAGTAAAAATAGATTGATTGTATGTCTTTGTTATCATTTTTACAAGGTTTTTACATCTTATTTTCCTTTAATTTATTATCAAAAACCACCTATTTTTATTTTAATTCCTCTTTTACCTGATCCTGACTTGTCCTAAACATTTCCTTAGAATTTAAACATGTTTTCCACCAGCCTTGTTTATTCTTGTTGAGAATTTTATATTAAGATGCCGTTCTACTAGAATGTAAGCTCTTGGGTTGGGTCTTTGACTTCCACTATATCTTTTTGTATAAATATAAATATGCCTGGCATTTTATTTGTGAAGTACCTCATACATAAATTGTACAACTCTACAGAATATGTTGGTACCGTTTCACAAAGAAAAATGGTTATTAATTGTAATTATTTTTTTCTCTAAAAGAAGGTTAGTAATAATCGCTAAATATATTAACATATAAAATACCACTTGAATAGAAGATTCACTTGCTCAAATATAATACATTTTATAAAATGTAAAAAAATTTATGTATTTATTGAGAGAAAGAAACATTGACCAGGGTGGCGTGTAACTTTCCACTGCCTTGACAGATGGGTATTATTAATTTATTACAGAGATAACATACAGAGAAGTAAATTTATGTTTTTATTATCATTGCTGCCGCCCAGTGATGGGAATGAGCGCAGGACTTATCTTTCTGCATTTGTATCCATTTTTTGTATCACTCAGCCTTGTTACAATGCAGCCGCCCATCCCATGTGTTCCATATTAAGGGTTAATAATATATAGTGGTGTATATAAAAAATACCCCTCTCTGTCTCATTAGAGATCTTTGCCAGAAGCTCAAGGAAGCAGGCTGAAGGGTCACAGTTAGGACCCACCTGGCGGGGTCTTCCTTGACATTGGCAGGTGGGCTTATCCTCTCATGGCCATTGGAGTTAACTAAAAAAACTCAATTTGTTTAAAAATACATAGGGATTAAGGAGAGAGCGCAGGTAACTTGTTTTTCTTTGGTTTTTACTATATATTGGGGCTGATGTGTACTGTACTCATTGCTGCCGGCCAGTGATGGGAGTAAGCGCAGGACTTAGCTTTCTGCATGATGTTTTTATTATATCATTCCTCTCTCAAATCGGTAAACATAAAATACTCTGAAAACTTAGGTGAATTCCATTAATTAAGTGAGAAAATTAGTAAATAATTCCTCCCTTAAAGAAAGGGTGGACAACTGGGCGTCTCCATCTCAGCTCCCTGTCAATCATTGTTATAAGCTCTGTCCTTTACACCTGGCAGTCAGTATAGAGAGAGCCACCTCCATCTTAGCTCCCTGTCAATCATTGTTATAAGCTCCGCCCATTACACCTGGCAGTCAGTATAGAGAGAGCCACCTCCATCTTAGCTCCCTGTCAATCATTGTTATAAGCTCCGTCCTTTACACCTGGCAGTCAGTCAGGGCCGGCGCTACCTGTTTGGCGGACCAGGCAGCCGCCTAGGGCGCCCCTTGGGAAGGGGCACCGCCAGGAGCGCCGGCCCCCCTCATGCTGCAGTCGCCCGAGCGCTCTGTAGAGAGCCTCAGGCGGCTGCACCTTTGCCTGCCCGGGCGCAGCCTGAGTTGAGCGGCTGACAGGAGGGAAGCGCTCAGCGCTCCCTCCTGTCACTCCCTCACTGTAGCGTGGCCGAGCCCTCTATGGTCCGCGGGTATAGGGAGCATCTGTCTCCTGTACCCGGCCGGACTAACAG